TGTTGGGTCGTTTCGGTTAACCAGCAGTTTGAGGCTTCAAACTATGACCGAATCAACTCACTATGTTTTTATTTAAAAAAGAAACCAAACCAAACCAATTACCTGTGTCAAACCGACTCGAGCCGATTCGATTTGATTGATTTGGTCGATTTTTCGATTTTTTTGCCCATTTCTATAGCACTTTAACTCCCATTATCAGGGATCCCAACTACCTTAGAGCTTTAGCTAGGAGGCTTAGGCGATAAAGATAATGGTTGAGAAGGAACTTGCTCGTCAAACCATCGTGTGGACTGCAGCATTGCCATGCCCACCCGACCCCATCCCTCACCTCCATATATGTAGTCGCTGGACCACTACCTTCGCAGCAGGGCCAAGCAATTTTCAGATTTACATCCCTTGTCCCTGCAATGCTACAGCTAAGTCCATAGACCCTAATAGTGGTGGATTTAGTAGGTGGCTAGCTAGGGGTAGGTGGCTAGCTAGGGCGCGAAGGCCGCCCTAGCTGGATTCGCTCGGGAGATTTTTTTTTGTTAGTAATAGATAAAAATTTAGGTTATATAATTGGTAGTTCATTCTATTTTCAAACCTCTCTTCTACTTAGTTTGTAAGAGCTTCTTTTTATATACTGTAAGTCCTGTGTTCGATTCCTTCCCCTCCATTTTATTATGTAAATTTTTTATTTCTACAATATTTACCAAAATTAATTCCCTAAGAAAAGGATTCGAACCTGTAACTTCTAGAGTTAGGATGATTGGAAGCTTAACTATTATGGTAATGGTTGAATTTTGAATCTAAATTTAAGAAAATAATATATGTTAAGACTTTACAAAAGGTTTTTTTTTAAATATTTTATACTTTAATAATTTATAAGATATGACTTATGAATATTGAGTTTTAATTTATATGTTATTTGTGAATTTATCTACTATGAATTGTGATATTAAAAATTTATTTGAATATCGTGAAATGTGAATATGTGATTCACGAAAATTGAAAATGAGAAATTGGGAAATTTATAATTTGTGATGAATTGGTGTTGAGAATTGAAATTTGAAACTTTAATTATATTTTAAAATTAATTTTAATTATGTTTAATATTTGATTAACGTTCAATTCTCCTACTAATTATGGAATGATTTTTTCAACTGAATTTTAATCTAGTTCTTGTAGTGGTGTATCTAATCTTTCAACTACTTTTAGTCTAGCAAACGATTTATTAAGCATTGATAACACAAAGAAGTCTTATGCATCATGCAATTTATATTATTTCGGATTGTATGGAAATATAATATGATATAAATATAAAATTTTTACGTTTTAGTATATTTATATATAGATCAAAGAAATTTTAATATTATTTAATTTAATATTAATAAACGATATCGCTATATGACCGTTAACTATCGACAAACAACGACCAACGATCAATGGCCGTTCTAACCGAGTCGAAGTCCTGAATTCGCCACTGAACCCTAAGCCCCATCCATCATCATTTGTCTAATTATCTCTCTCTCCAACCTCCCTCTGACTCTCCACTACTCCTTCCTCTCATCTTTTAAGAACAAATATTCTTCCAACTCATTCACCACCTAATCCGTTACACATCATAAAGATGTCAAATTAAGTCCCAAGAGACGGGAATGGGGACGGATTGTAGTCGTAACCCGGTGGTGGTGGGTGGCCTTCTGGCCGATTACACACTACAAATTGGGAATTTTCTATAATGAATAATATCATTTATACAAAAATAGTTATATAATAATTTACATACAAATAAGGTGTCAAAAAAAGATTGAGAATTTTTTATTTTTATTTTTATTTATTTTATTTTTTTGCATTTTGTTGAAGAAATTTTGACCAATTATATTTCACTACATTATTTCTATATAAATTTATTATGTATATGTAACACAACCAATTTATGAAATTGAAATCTAAAAAATAAGGTTTGAGGTAAATTTTTCTTTCATAAAATTCATTACTATTTTTCTTATAAAGTATTTATAAATTTGCCAAATTGAAGATAATTGACTTTAGTCTTTTATTATAAAACTATTAGAATATGTTTATTGCATGCATGATATAGGCAAATAAGTTTTAGGCAATGAAAATTATTAATCATATATGTTTGATTTGTTTAATTTTCAACTTATAAAATGTCATACTTATCCATCTTTTATTGGTAAGTAGATGAGAAAGAAAAAAATATTCCCTCCATCTCATTTATAAAAGATTTTTTTTTCTTTCTTTCTTCAAACGGATTAAGAAATCTTATTTAATGTTATTAAAAAAACAAAATTTTTCAGTAACTTCCTAACTCACCTTTACTTATATTTGCCTTGTTTCAAGATCAAGCAGAAAAATTGATTATAATCAGACAAATTAAATAAATATATATTAGTAATTGAACAAAACAAACAAGCTCACTAAAAAACATGATTATATAATTAAGACAAGAAAATAAGGAATATATATATATATATATATATATATATATATATAACTTGTCATAAATATCATTACCACTAAGAGACGTCCTTGAAGATTCTGAATAAGAGTGAATTTACTTCGCATAGATGGAGAAAGATTTGTGGGGCTTCTTTCCATGTATGGTTTTTTTAATACCAAATCATCTATTTTCATTGAATTTTCTTTGACCCTAGTAAATGTAGTTAATAAGGTGAAATAATCTCAAGACATTTAGAACAAAATTAGTAAACGTGGATAGTGGCGATCGTGGGTAGAGATGCAGGAATAGGAAAAAAGAATAATAAAATAAAATCTATTTCTTCTACATACCATTTCGTCATCTATTTTACTTCGATGAAAGGTGTATTTATGAAGAAAGTAGTACGGACTTTTGTGGACAATTTTAAACCTGCATACATGTGCAAATTATCACATATATATGCTGCATTATATGCTGATATGATGTAATGTTTCATATGATGTAATGTAAAACATAACAGCAACTAAACACATAACACATATCAAAGAATGACGTAACTCTAAGATGTGTTGCAAAGATGACCGATTTTCTCTCAATATTCTCCGCTAGTACTATACATTTTCTATCAACAAAGGAATCCCAAACTGTAAGCATCATTCTTTTGAAATTTTTATCTAGAAGCAATACATCCTGTATCCATATTTGGTTGCCATCTTTTGATTGAATCATTCGTTTAGGCGTCATATCAATTGCAACCGCGAGTATATCTGAAAATATAAATTTTAAAATGACTCTCTGTTTATTTTTCTAAATATAATAACTAATAAATAATTCAGTAATTCAAGATAACATATCATGGAATAACAAAAAATATGCATTTCTTGCTCATATCAGCATCTGTATCCATATACTCTTCTGTTTCATGAAAAGCTATCAACTAATATGTTGAAAAAATAAATTCCAGATTATCTTCATTCAGTTCAAAAATTTGAGTTTGTTCAGATATAGTCTAGCGATAAGATCCTATCGAATATTTGTAGTTTCCCAATCCAACAAGCCACAAGTGCATTAGGATGAAAACTAAAAAGATCCATTTCATTGTAACCAGATCACATAAAGATAAGAGGTATCGTTTAATGGAACTAAATATTTAAATTCTATAAATAAAACCTTGTAAATGTAGAAATATCTATTATGCTAGAAGGATTTGGAAATCAAAAGTGAAGGAAACTACTAAGAGGATGAAAATAAAAAGAGCAATTGATATAAACAGAATCCTTATTGAATATGCAAGTATATCCTAAAGAGTCCGAGAGGTCTAATAAGTGGAGGAACAATGTTAAAATAAATTGGACATTTACGCTTGTATAAACTATAGAAGCATTAGGTCCATGGCTCATCTTACGAGAAAAGAAGAAAGGACAACATGTTAAGGAGAGATTAAAATGTAATTTGTATCGTTTTATCTTTTATGTTAGGGGACAAACACATGGAAGCTATTTACATAATTCAAAGATTGATGGAAAAGTATAGAGCAAATAAAAAAATGGATTTTATATTTTTTCAATTTTAGAAAAAGACAAATCATACAGTGCCTACCGTGTGTTTTAGAGAAGAAAGATACTTCTACACCAGACATATTAATGTTATTGTGATATGTATGACGGAGTAGTCACGTATGTAAAATCCAGTGGTAATTGCAGAGAATTTCCATGCTTCCCCAATATTGTATGGTTGCATTGAAACTTTTTTTGTAGTACGTTGGAATAAGAACCTATAAGTTTTTACCTTCTACCATTTTTATCTTGATGAACTTATCCACTAAAAAATGACAAAGAAATCGAAAAACACTCTTCTCAAAAGACCCCTACACAATAAAAGAAGTACCTTGAGTAAATTAGCAAGGCAAACAACTCAAAACAAACCTCTTATTTACTTCCTATTTCTTCCTGGAAAAGAGTAATTGTCCAACATTCTTCTAGCCTATCATAGCTACACTAATCCACTACCCACTCCTTCCTCCTCATGAAGTGTTAACCATACAAGTAAAGCAATACTTAACAGCAACTCAAGGCCTCAAACACATCACTGTTCCATCACTTCATAATTGAGGCACTAACAGACATTTTCGTTAAAATTCCAAAGCTTTGAATACCCAAGAAATTAATCTGAAGCATTTCAAATCCAAAACATTTAAGTGTAATCAAACATGTAAAAACTAACATCACTCACTAATTTCTTTTCTTTGTTCAATTCTAACAAAAAAATTCAAAAAGAAAACACCGGATAGGACGAACCAATGCCTCTCCTTACCTTTACTTTACAAGAAAATCCATCACTTCAGAAATTTCTTAATTCTAAACAATGCCCCCCACAATAATAATGAATAACAGATCATCAGTTAGTAGTTAATAAAAAACGTCCAACCCCAATTACTGGTAATTCATATGAATAAACTGATAAAAATCAGTAATCAAAACTCACGCCACATGCCTTTTTGTTAAACATTGCCCAATAAACAAAATTAATTCAAGCAATAATCAAATGAAATGAGGAAAAAATTGCGAGTAATCATACCTGAACCAGGTAATAAAATATACGTAGACCCTCAGGATCTTTGCTGGTCTGGACATCCATGAGAGAGCCAATCTTGGAGGTGGTAAACGAGATGTGTTCGTTTCCCATTACAATCTCCAACTCCTGCCTCCCCACGCGGTCAGGTTCCGGCCAATTGTTATCATCCTCCTTCAGTATCTACAACACAATTCGTTTATCTTTAAAATTCTTAAAACTCTATCAGCGAGAGAATAAACAGAAAACTTGAAAAAGTAAACTGCAGCGGCGGCAGCGTACCTCAGATTCGGAGACAATGCGGCGGCACTCCTTGAGAACGGAGGGGGTTACAAAGACCTCCTTGCGGATCATGGTGTCGTTCTTGTAATTAGAGTTGTTAGCATAACGAAGCTTGCCATCGGGTCGGACCTCGAACTCCAAGAATTCGTGCCCGAATTTTCCCTTGTGACCGACGTAGTACCGGAGGTAGAACTCGTCGTTTTCTTCGCCGTCGGCCATTCTTGAGCTTCGAAGGGTTTTCGTTTTTTCTGCACTTCTTTGTGTGGTTTTGGGCTGCCGTTGAGAGAGAAAAGAGCAGACCTTGATTTTTCTGGTAGTACAAGTATTTCATATATGGGCTTGGGCTGTTGTTGATGGATCACTAAAAGCTTGTCAGCAACAAATTTTTATTTTTATTTATTTTTTTAATTGAAAAATGAATTTTTGAGAATGTATAGTTGAAAAAAGTTGTGAGTCTAATTGAATATTTGGTTGAAATTAATTTTCAAAAAATGATTGTAGAAAAATTTGTGGATTTGAAAAGGTAATTATCTAGTTATGTATTTGATTTAATTGAGTTAGGAATGAAGATTAATTTGATCGTGTCTAATATAGATAAATCTTTTTAATTAGAATGTGTTCCGCTTTAATTGAGTTGGATAAAATTTAAATTAATTCATGTTGTTCGACTATGTGACTTTTCAATTTCATTGTTTAGTCTCAAAATTTTACATTGATTCAAAATGGCTTCCATTTAAAGATTATTCTTGATATTAAATTCGGGTTCAATAGTTTATGAAATTTATACGTGTATAGAAAAATCTATTGTAAGAATGGAAAGAAAACTAGATGTGAACCTAACATAAATTGATTATATTTAATTTATTATTGGCTTTGAAATTGTTATGTATTCAAGGATACGTATTAAAGTTCATATTATCAGGTGTTCTAATTTATACTCCTTTCTTGATCATCGTTGTCAACCATCTAATCTAACATTGATTGAAATTCTCCGTCCGTCCAAAGGAGAATATTCTAGCCCCTACATCGAGTACTGCATCCAATCATGACAACCGAATAGTAATTATCTCTTCCTTCTACATTCAAAATTAAGGGAAGACATGAAAAAATTTGTTTATTTTAGTTTCGAATTTGATTATATCCATGATCATCTTCGGCAATTGAGCCATTATAATTGGTGGTACCAAGTGTTAATATCTTTCTATCTGGAGCAGGGCAGAATTATGAGATTTTTGTAAGAAATTTCGGTTCCGCAATGTATAATTTTCATAATGTTACTAGTCCACAAGACAAAAGATCCCATTGATGCGTCTAATCCTATGTAGGGTTGACAACGTTCGGTTCGGGGTCGGTTCGACTAAAATCATTACTGAACAACCAACTTTTTGGTCCTACCATAACCACGTAAGTTGGTTCAGTTCAATTTGGACGGTTAATAACCCAAAAATAAATTATTTTTTATAGATTCAGCTGTCAAATTGGAAAAAAAAAAACAAAAAACAAAAATGCAATACTAAGTCAATTTAGCAAACAATATCCCAATTCCCAAATGCAAAATTTGAATTTAACAAACAATTTTCGTATATGTTTAATATTTGTGTAGCAGGGTGTAGGGTTACTAGGTTAGGTAGTTGGACTTAGCAGGTGGGTAATGGGTAAGAATTTTGGATCGGATAGAATCATAGAATAAATAATGGAAAACCCAATTGTCCAATCAATTTTTCTTTTTAAAAGGGTAATCGGGGTGGGGCGACGTCGTAAATACCATTCCCATCCCGCCCTGAACCGGGGCATTAAAATCAAATACCATATCCATTCCGTTGTGCTATCGGTTCGATTTTTTTCGCCCCATTCGATTTGATTAACCACAGTTTTCAGTTTTGACAGTTTGAATTGTCATCCTTAATCACATGCTTATTGTATGGACATCTGGTATATTTGTCCCAGATCCAAAACCGAAATGACCACCCCCTACGCAAAAAAAAAATAAATAATAATAATAATAATAATAATAATAATAATCTCGATTTTGTGACAGATTCAGATAGTTTTAAAGCAAGGATATATTTTGCGGGTTGTGCGTGTATTTTGGTCCCTCTTTAATCAAATTTATATGATAAAGTACATTGTATACATATCTTTGCAATACATTGTATACATATCTTTGCAATCCTAAATGATATGATATAACTCATTTGAATATATGTCGTGTCTTGCAGTGACTACTCGTTCAAACTTCCCTACCTTTTTTTTTTTCCTCAAAGGCAGATGATGTGGAGTAGTTTTTGTACTTTTTCAAATTCTCTTTCCAATTACTGCAACTGATTTAGCCTTGTAGACGTAACTAATTTACTCATATTTGTTGCTCACTACCAACAACCTGCCTCCGAGCCCCCCTCCATACACCCCCAATAAAAATACAAATATAAAAGAAAACAATCTCAGGCTTCCCTAAGTTTTTTTTTTCTTTTGCGTGGACTTCTTTTTCTCATTGAATTGGAATTTATTGTGAAGGCAAACCATAGATTCTTAAAAGTTCCTCAAGCATGAACTGACCACTGTTATCATTTGCATAAAGTGGCTACTATCACTTCCAAATTATAGTTCTATTGTTGTCAAACAACAGAACAGTAGTAAAATGTTGGCATTAAAAATCATGTTACTTCATTAGTACTATTTTGCAGATTAAGGTGATGCATCAACCATTCTATTGAGTTTAACAAGAGGTCAATTTTTGTACTTGTTAGTTGTTAAGAGTGTTATTCAACTATTATCTTGCCAATCAAATTCATGGTTTTCGACTTGGGATCTTTGATATCATCACTATGCAATGAACAGTGTGGAAATTGAACTGTAAAGCACTACAGTACTTAAACTTACATATCCCAAGGAAATACTGTTTTTGGTTGTATGGGCTTTTAAAGAGTGTAGCTAATAGGCTAAGAATGGTTTTTAGTTAATCTTTACTTTCTTGAGGTTTCTTTAGTTAATTGATTTGGTGCGGTTACGTTGTTGAGTTGTTGACGTCGGGTAGGATAGTGATTATCTTATTGGCTTGTTGTAGTAGATGATTCGCAAGAAAAAAAGACAGAAAATGCCCAAAAACTAGAGAAAATACTCTGAATTCGACTCAATATTATTGATAATGCAGAATGACAAAAATTAATCCACAAGTCAGGTCAAATAACTGCGAAATACGAAATTATGGGAAAATTACCAAAAATGGCAAAATCCCGAAATTATACCAGAATAAAATATTTAGTAAAAGAAGTAGGTTGCCAAAAATTTGGCTCAATTCGAGTTTTCTAACATATTGAAAAAGGGAAACGAAATATTACCATAAATAGTAAAAAATAACTTAAAATTTAATTTTGGAAAGGAAAACAGCGAATTTTGGGCTCGAAATTGACGCAGTAGCTCGGTGGCCATGACGTGCGCACCGAAGAGAGCTTTCCGGATTTGGGTCATAATAGCGATTCTGATAACCGTAGTCAAAGTTATGGTCAAATTACCAAAGACGCATCAAATTCCCCCAATTAAGGAAATAATTGCGATTTACTTTCCATCTTTGCGCCGATCCGCCATCCCATGGTATCTCAGCGCCATCATCGTGCTATCTGACAAATCAGCATCACTCGACTCGGATTCTCCTGCATCAGTTGTTCTTTGTGGAATCTTGAGGGATTTTTTTTATAGTTCTCGGTTAATACTGTTACTAAGTAATGGGTATACTGTTATTTTAACTACATTACAGGGATTTTTTTTTTTTTTATAGTTCTCAGTTAATACTACAATTTCATTTAAAAATCATATTGTAAGACTATCAATTATGCTCCATGGCTCTTGCCTTCCCATTTTTTGTAAAATTTTGAGTAGGTTGGATTATGACCCTTTTCTTTTAGGCGTTCTAAGTTTGTAATTAGGCATTTGATATTACTTTTCTTCTAATGGAAGTGACATGTTTTGTTCATGGACCATTTGGTAGGCCTCTTATATTCCACGGAGAAAGTTATACTAGACTTGCCAATGCTACTTTACCAGTCTTAGGTAATAGGAGATTAGCTGCATTATTATCATTACAATTTCAAACTGTGCGTTGCTGCAATGGCAATGAAATTTTGATTTTTGCTTTCTAACGAACTGAATGTTGATTTATAACTTACCTTTCTTTATTTTTCTCAATGCAGGATGATTCGTACTCAGACAGTTACATTATTACAATTGGCGTCGACTTTGTAAGAGATTAGACTTCGTCGGTTGATATATTTTACTTGGCACAATTTGAAGCCTTAACTGTTTTTTCTGCCTTTGTATATTCCACAATCGGTGTTGGTGGTGTACAATGAAACACTCGCTAAACTTTGGAATGGCAAAAAATAGATGTGTTAAACAATCCAAAGAAAATAAAGAAGAAAAAGGAGGAGGCTGGGGTTTCATTGATACTACATTAATTAATTGAATGCTAAAAGATGGTTTAACCTAAATACAAAGAGAATATATATAGGCTAAATAAAGGAAACTAAAAAGGACTATTCTACCCTTAATAAATAATAAATAATTCTATATTTCTTAACATCTTCCCTCAAACTCACGATGTGGCAGCTACAAGCATCGAGAGTTTGCCAACTAGAAAACGAAACCGAGAAATAGAATGCAACTTGGTAAAAAAATCTGCAAGCTGCAAAGAAGAAGAAACAAAGGGCAAAGTAATTGTGCCATGCTTGAGATGATGACGAGTAAGATGACAATCGATCTCAATGTGCTTAGTTCGTTCATGAAAAATCGAGTTGTGAGCAATCTGAATAAAACTTTGGTTGTCGCAATACATAGGAGTGGGATGAGAAAGAAAACTCCCATATCTGCAAGTAACCAACATAACCAAACAATCTCTTTAGTAGTAGATGCCATAGCACGATATTCTGCTTCAGTGGAAGATTGAGAAATAATAGATTGTTTCTTGCTTTTCCAAGAAATAAGAGAATCACCCAAAAAGATAAAGAAACCAGTAACAGACTTGCGATCTGTGGGATCACTGCCATGATTAGTATCAGAGTATGCACGCAGCTCCAAGGAGGAGGTGGATGGAATTAATAGACTCTGAAAGACTGTACCCCGAAGATATCGCAAAATGCGAAGAACAGCTGTCCAATGAACTGTAGTAGAAGAAGCAATAAACTGACTAACAATATGAACAGCATATGCAATATCTGGATGAGTAATAGTGAGATATACCAAGCTCCCAACAATAGTACGATATAAACTAGGATCTGACAAAGGTAAACCGTTAGAAGAAGAATACTTCG